TATCATAAATAAGTTGTACAAGTTGTAGGCCTGTAGCAGCCATTCAGTCACTGAAATTATCGATGGAAGTAGTTTGTAAACTACCGGGTCTTCCCGGTCTACTAAGGACCCGGCTCACCTCGACGGGGTAGGCTGGGTCCTTCGGAGGGCGCAGCCTGCCGGTTTGGACACACCCATCGAGTCCCGAGGTCCTGCTAAGGGTCATGTGACCTAGAGGGTGAGCTGTGAAACTTCAAAAAAAAATTTGCGAACAAATTCCTACTACAGCCACAATTTTCATGTTAAAAAGACAAATTATACATCAAAACGTAGGAATTTTTGTCTTCTTTCAGAAAATGTTCTCGGTTTGGCTCTAAGATAAAAGGTTTTCTCTCTACGCGCTTCAGAAGCCAGCAAAACCGAGTTCCTTCCCCTATCTCCGCCATGTAAAAAAACAGTTAAAACCGAACTCAGAACTCCAAGACTTACTACTTTTTAACTCGCGATATCTCAGCCATCAATTCAAGTACATGCTTGAAAATTTATTTCAGTAAAGACCAAAGTCTTCTGACACTCACGGTCGAAAAATTATTTCAATACCCCTTATATGTTTTGCACAGCAGCTGTTTGAAAGGACCCATCATTTCTGTGTTTTCAGACAGAGGAGCTGCATTTGCCTTTGCGCGCGCGCGCACTTCAGCCAGCCTGAGAAACGGAAGGGAGGGGGTGGAATGAGTCGTCCGATCATTGGTGAGTGCGATTGATAATGTGTGCAAATGATRTGCGTGATGTCATGAGCAAAGTTTGATTCTGGCTCTGCCCAATCGCAGGAATTCTTTTTCTGATGACATCACTATGATGTCACAGTTCTTTTTCTGGTGGTGTGAACAGACTTCTGTTAAACTGTCATTTGACTGAAGATTCATTTGATGGCTGTAACGAGTGCACATGTGCAATATTTGTCTGCGAATTTTAGGCTTCTGCGGACGCTTCTGATAACATTGAGAAACAGGCATGAAGGTTACGTTGAAAGTTACATGCTGGAACAAAGAAATTTGGAACAATACTCCAAAGACTTTACGAAATCACTTCACAGATTAAAAGATGMAGAGGATTCGTTGAAGGCACTGGAGGAGGAGTTGAAGTTTTCGTACAATAAACGAGAGTTGGTAGGCGAACAAGATTTTCTTCAAACTATTCAGGAAGAAATGGAATCTTTGGACGACCAAATGTTTTCTCTAATTGACGACTTACGAAACGAGATATCCAAATGTACGGAGGTACAGAAAGCATTTGATGACCAAGAAACAAGAACTATTAAAGATATGACTAGAACGGTAATTTATTACAATACCCTGGAATCAAAATATAAATCATTTGTTAATGGTGAAACGTATAAAAATTTAGATGAATACATGAAGATGCTTCTGGGGTGGAAAATGGAAACGGCCAAAATGGAACGTTTTTATTTACTGAGTTTTATAAAACTGTTGGAACTAAAAATGAAAAATGAGCAGATTTACAATAACTCTCATACATMCTTAGAAGCAAAAGCAGAATATGAATTGAACTATCTAGAAATGCAAAATTTGTATGACCTATGTAGCCACCTAGAAAACGAAATAGGCTTGAAGAACTCTAAAGAGGCGTCTAGTAAATGGATTGCACTGGACTGTGATCCATCAAAATTAAATTTGTACAAATATTTGCCGGAGTCAAGGCTTAGTGAAGCAGATGAAAACTTGTAGCATGGCGCCAATATGTACACACATCATACGAAACAAACGGATGATGTCACTGATGAACATTCTGTTGCCATGGCGATCATATATAAGCCTTCCTTCCTGCCTTCCTTCCTAAAAACCCAGGCGTGGGGGGGGATTTCATGCAACTTCTCTGGGAGGGAGAGAGAGAGAGAGAGAGGGGTGAGAGAGAGAGAGAGAGAGAGAGAGAGAGGTGAGAGAGAGAGAGAGAGAGAGAGAGAGAGGGAGGGTGAGAG